GACTACAGCTACACCTGCCCATAAATTATGTCCTGGAGTGATCTTTCAGTTTATCCCAGAGTCACTGTTCAGACAGAGTAAAGGGCACACTGGATGCAGAGGTGGCAGGAAGAAACAGATTTCTTCCTAATTCTGACTTTGTAAGGCCAACCTTAGTTTCTCCTACACGGATCCCTACTGAGGCATCAGACTAGTTCTCAGGCATCTGGAAGTCTTGTGATATTTGAGGGTGTTATGTGCAGTCTGTGTCACCCTAGTGGCAGAATATAAGGAAGAAGAGCCACCAGAAGATTCTTTCTCTCCAGAAGAAATCTTCTTGGTTGGTTTGCACATGAGAGTTCATGCAGTTTCTGGAGATTTGAATGAAGAAAATGGAGGTTGGTGGATATAAACTGACAGATTAAAAAGGCTTCTTTCCAAGTCTCATGATAAACAGAGATAAAGAAATCCTTGGTACTGTTACCCAGTACATTTTAGTCTAAGGTAAACGGATACATCGTTGAACTCATGCTCAGGAGGAAGAAGGGGTGGGCAGTGTTCACAGGGCACCATTTGGGCTGCTTCCCTTTGGTTAGTGTCTTAGAAGTTCTGCTATCACACAGTGAAGACTGTAGTCAGAAGATTTTGAGGTTATTTTAGTATTTTTTATCTTCTTTAGAATACAATAATTTCTTTTTTTTTTTTTTTTTCGGAACCAGGGATTGAACTCAGGCCCTTATGCTTTCCAGGGAAGCGCTTATTCTACTGAGCCATCTCCTCAGCCTCTTAGAATATAATCACTTCTAAAAATATGGTAGTTATTTCTTATTTAATATTATTAGGAGGTAAGTTAGCACTAATTTAATATTAAATAGATGAGGGATTGAATTAAACAACTATGCAAATGCAAAATAGTCTGGGGGCAAAGTCAAAACATGTACTCTAGAGAAATGGAGGATAGTAGTCTAGAGTGCCCTTGGCCCAGGCTGAGGTCTTGTCTACCTCTGGCCCACACTGCAACACCTGCCTATTAAGCACGATAGAGAAAAATGACTTCGGTCATTTTGGTCACCTAGAGCTAGTATGGTTTTCCAAAGTCCAGCACTAGGTAATTGGGAAAATGTAACCACTTGTGCTGGTGTCTTAATTTTTAGCCTTTTTACCCATACCTCTGTTTGTAGAGAGATCTCTCCAAGCATACCATTATCTATTTCTCAAATAGTTCTCCAATAATTTTTAAAATGCAAATATTAAAATTCTGAAATACCTATTTCTATAACCTTTCTTTATCCCGTCAATTCATATTTTTCTTTTATTCTAGGCAAATTTTAAAATTCAATGATTAGAAAAGGAGAAACAGAAACATCTGCGCAGCCCTGTGAACTCCGGGACCGCCGCTACCCAGTTCCTAGTCTATTATGCACATTAGCTCACATGAAGCACTCAGCACAGTGTGCTGTAATGTACTGACAGCACTGAGTACAGACTACAGAGCTTGCACTAATGAATGTGAGCAAGTTTTCAAATGCAGACTTAGTCCTCTGGCAATTTTAAATGGCCAGTGATGTTTCTGTATTGTGGCTTATATTCTTGGCTAGGAGTCAATGTTGTATGTGTAGAGATAAAGTGGTTTGATATAAGTGAGTCTGTGTCGTGTACTTTTCTGGTTTATTAGTATTCAAAATGGGTTTAGGGTTATCAATTTCTGCAATCAGAGAAAATTCATTTAAAATGCCAAGTCCTGAGTACCACTCAAGACCAAAATATTATAGTTCATTAGACCAGGGCCTAAGAATACAACAAAATACAACACAACTACATACTGAGGCTGGACAGACTTTGTTTTTAGAGATGGGTTGTAAGCCAATGTGCAAGGCTGAGCATGGTGGTGCACACCTGTAATCCCAGCACTTGGGAGGCTGAGACAGGAGGATCACTGCGAGTTCTAGACCAGCCTAGGCTACAAAGTGAGCTCAAGGCCAGCCTGAACAGCATAGGGAGACTCCTTCTCTAAAAGACAATGAATAAACCAACCAACCAACCAATGTACCCCAGTCACCTTCACTGCTGGGACAAATCACCTGCCACACAATTGAATGGGGAAAGGATTATTTAGGCTCATTGTTTTGGGACTTTTAACCCACACAGAGCTAACTCCGAGAGAGAAACGGCATTTTGGAATGGCATGGCAGAACACAGCAGCTTACCTCTGAAAGCCAGGAGACAGACCTGAAAAGTGAGAGACAGGAAGGGGCCAAGAACACCACACACCCTTCCAGGCTGTGCCCCTTTGCCCCTACTCCTCCAACTGGGTCCCGACCACTAATGGCAGGCTAGGAAGTGATGAGGTCATCCTCTGAGGGTTTCATCACCTTCACTTAAATGGGGCAAAGGACATTTTAAAGGGACATACCCATACTTTAAATTTTCTATTTAGGTTGCTGTGTGCTGAGCCGAGATAGCCTGGCTGGTGGTAGCATTTTGTAGAAAATTCCATCACCCTGCCCAGAGCAAAAATGTGAAAATCAGTGTCCAGATGGGTGGCCACAGCCTGGGCCGCCAGGGGCAAGGGATGTGGAAGCCCGGCCCCGGGGATCCTGGCAGCTGTGCTGGAGGCAACCCTAACCCGTTGCTTGATTTCCAGGGGTTTCCCAACCCCCTACCACCAGTCAGGCCTGTCTCCGATAGCTCCTGGGACTGGGTCCTTTCCACCACCTTTACAAGCCATTCCCAGAACAGAAGACACCACAGCAGCAACCTCGCCCACCCTGCTGCTTGGCCAATCACATCTCACTGCTGTGACCCCACCCCCAACTCCTAGCAACAAGACCAATGTAGCTGCCCAGTCCTTCCCCTTCCAGCAGCCTCAGAGTCCTGGACCTCACCTTGCCATTCATTGTCTTCTCCCCCGCCCCCCTTGTTTTGTCTTCTCGAGGACTGAACCAAGGCCTTCTCACTGAGCTACAGCCATAGCACTTTTGTATTTTGAAATTGGGTCTGTGTTATGCAAGCAGGGATGGACCGTGCTATCCTCCTCCCCAGCCTCCTACACGGTGCTGATGTCCAGCTGTGTGCCACCCCTCCTGCCAGCTGCCTCACTCTACAAGTGATCAGGTGCTATGGACACCTATCTACTTTAAAACAAAACAGTTGAAATTTAAAAGAAATACATCCATTATACAATAGTCCCTAAGCTGAACAGTGATTTGGTTAAAGCAGTTACTAATTTTTCTTTCATTTGGAAGTTTCTCCACTTCTAGGGTGAACTGAAGTGCATTATATCTTTACTTTCAAAAGCATGGCATAACTAAGGGCCTTAGAAACCCTTGGCCAGGCACAGTGACACAGACCTGTCATAGTAGCTACTTAGAAACCCTTGGCCAGGCACAGTGACACAGACCTGTCATAGTAGCTACTCAGCAGGAACTTCACAAGGTCCAGCCCAGCATGGACAATTCAGCAAGATTCTGTCTAAAAAGCAAAGAGCACAGAAAGCAAAGGGCCGTGAACGTACCTGAGTATCCCATGACAGTAATAAAAAAGAAATTAACTTGTGATTCTCATGGTGAGCAGTCACCGTCACTATGCCCTGCACTGGGGACTGCCCTGGCACTCTGCCTGGGCCACACACATTTGCATGTCTGACAGTGCCGAAACGCAGCCAGCTCCAAGCTGAAGCTATCACCTGGACCTGCTCTCTAGATGTTTACCACTTCTCACCTGATGGCAACAGCCTCTTTCCTTGTATGCGGTCCAAAATCAGAAGTCCTCAACATTTGTATTTTTGTGTTTCTACTTATTTAGTCAATTATTTTTTGAGACAGGACCTCACCACATATGTAGCCCAGGCTGGCCTCAAAATCACGGCAATCCTCCTGCCTTAGCCTCCCAAGTGCTAGGTTTACAGATATGTGCTACCACACCAGCTCTATTTGTTTTTCACAGTCCTAGAAATTGACTCAGAAAAGATGTTTCTAATTTTTATTTTTGCAGGCAGGATTTTGGTAAATTGCCCAAAATGACCCTGAATTTGTGATCTTTCTGTCTTAACCTCCTAAGGAGCTGCAATAACTTACTGGGATGCCAGGATTGGCATCTTAACTGCCTTTATTGTCCCAGCTGCCACTCTCAAAGTCATACTGAGGTGCTGGTTATATTCTAACAGCTCACATACACACACAGAATTTGTGGAATTTCTTTTATGTGTACACCTGGGAATAAAAACATGTTTATCACTTGGACAATTAATCGCCACAAATTGCAGTACCTGGCTGGGGAATCCTGCCTATCAGAGCAGGGCAGTACTGCTCCGAACAGCATCTTCTAGATGATTAATACCAATGTATCACACATACTTCTGCTTGGCTGGTATTTCTTTCACTGCAAGGTGCACTTATTTGCGAGCTAGGTACACCTGAACTACCTTTTTTTAAATTTTTTTTTTTATTTTTTGGTGGAACTGGGGATTGAACTCAAGCCCTTGCGCTTGCAAGGCAAGCAATTATTCCACTGAGCTATCTCCCCAGCCCTGAACCTAAAACTATCAATAAATTAAGGATATTAAAGAGAAACAGACTTGGACAGTGTTAAAGGCAGCAAAGATTGACTTTACTGAGTAGTACTGCCACAGGGAATGAGACTTGAGTGTGGATTTGAGCCCAGTTATACATGAAGAAAAATACATGCGGAAATTTATATCCAACAAACACAGTGAGGGCTCAGTGGCTGGAAAACTTCTAATAGGAGACTTCAAGTTCAAGGAGTCCTACACTGAAGTAATAGGACAGCATCCAACAAATGCTTTGCCACATCCTGCATATTTGTAGGGTTTCTTAACAACATAAAAATTGGTAGTGAAGTCTGGAGCTTTGATCAAAGGCTTTCCCACATTCTTCCCACTTGTAGGATCTCTCCCTAATATGAACTCTCTGGTGTTGAGTAAGGCTTGAGCTCTGATGAAAGGCTTTCCCACATTCTGCACATCTGTAAGGTTTCTCACCAGTGTGAACTCTCTGGTGTTGAATAAGCCTAGACCTTCGATCAAAGGCTTTGCCACATTCTGCACATGTGTAGGGTTTCTTGCTAGTGTGAACTCTCTGGTGTTGAATGAGGCTTGAGCTTTGGTCAAAGGTTTTGCCACATTCTACACATTTGTAGGGTTTCTCCCCATTGTGAATTCTCTGGTGTTGAAGAAGTCTGGAGCTTCGATCAAAGGTTTTCCCACACTCTTCACATTTGTAGGGTCTCTCCCCAGTATGACCTCTCTGGTGTTGAATAAGGCTTGAGCTTCCAACAAAGGCTTTACCACATTCCTTACATTTATAGGGTCTCTCGCCAGTATGAAGTCTCTGGTGTTGAATAAGCCTAGACTTTCGATCAAAGGCTTTGCCACATTCTGCACACTTGTAGGGTTTCTCACCAGTGTGAACTCTCTGGTGTTCAGTAAGGCTTGAGTTTCCAACAAAGGATTTGCCACATTTTACACATTTGTAGGGTTTTTCACCTGTATGAACTCTCTGGTGTTGAATAAGTCTGGACCTTTGATCAAAGGCTTTGTCACATTCTTCACATCTGTAGGGTTTCTCACCAGTATGAACTCTCTTGTGTTTAATAAATATGGATCTCCGACCAAAGGCTTTTCCGCATTCTTCACATTTATAGGGTTTCTCACCAGTATAAACTCTCTGGTGTTGAATAAGGCTTGAGCTTTCAACAAAGGCTTTGCCACACTCTTTACACTTATAGGGTTTCTCTCCAGTGTGAGTTCTCTGGTGTCGAGTCAGGTGTGAGGACACTCTAAAGGCTTTGCCACATTCCTCACACTTGTACGGTTTCTCTCCTGTGTGTACTCTCTGGTGTTCAATAAAGTTTGAGCACAGACGAAAGGCTCTGCCACAGTCTTTACATGTGTAGGGCTTTTCTCCAGTATGAACCCTCTGGTGTTCAGTAAGTCTGGAGCTTCCAACAAAGGCTTTGCCACATTCTTCACATTTGTAGGGTTTCTCGCCAGTATGGAGTCTCTGGTGTCTAGTAAGTCTGCAGCTTCGGTTAAAGGCTTTGCCACATTCCTCACATTTGTAGGGTTTCTCACTGGTGTGCACTGTCATATGTTTTGTAAGAGATGAGCCTCTGCTAAAGGCCTTGCCACATTCTTTGCCATTGTGGGGTGTCTCGACAGTATCAATTTTCTCATGTTCAATGTATTTTGCATGAGACTTCACAAAAGCTGAGACCAAAGCAAAGTGATTAGTACACAAAGGAAGTGATGATCACAGTACCTCATACAATTCACTGGAGTAAGGAGAGACTCTAAGACAAAATACAGGCAAACCATTATAATGGGAATACTACAAACAAATCTAGAGAAGACACATAACAAAATAGGTTTGAGAGGCTTCACAAATTTCTAGGAAACAACAATGGACTGTTGTTGGGACAGTCAAATTGGGACAAATTATAGTCCTGCATTTTTTAAACTTTTATTGTTATTTATTTAAATTGTTATATAGTGACCATAAACATGATGATTTGAAATATGTATATATTATATTTGACAGATGACCAAACCTAATTAGCCTAACTAATAAGTACAAACATTATTTCACATAATTATCATCTTGTGCTTATTATGGCACTTATATCTGGTAGCACTTCTCAAGAGCATAATATATTAACTATAATCACCATGCTATACAATCTACCTCCTGGATTTCTTATGCCAAGTTAACTGAAATTCTGTTGCCTCCCATTAATACCAACCCACTGCATTACCTAACCACAACTTTATGTGTTTGAGATCAATTTTTGTAGCATCTCATATTAATGAGATGCCATAGCAACTGACTCTCTGTGTCTGGCTTGTTTCACTTATTAAAGTCACTGCACTGCCACACTGAATGACATGGCAAAGATTTCACACCATGTTTTTATATATTCCAGTATTGATAGGAGTTATATTGAGTCCATATTGTGAATACTGATAGCACATGTGAGCGTGGAAATACTTCTCCAACCTATTCATTGAATTTCCTTTGGCTACAGATTCCACCATAGAATTACTGGGTCATGGGTTGTTCCATTTTCCTTACTTTTTGTGGGGCTGGAAATCAAACCCAGCCTTCCTATAAGCGAGGGAAAGGCTCTGAAGCTGCACTGCACCCCCACTACTATTCCTAACAATTTTCACAGTTTTCCAAAATCATTGCACATTACTGCAAGAGAGCTGTAAGTGAACAACAGAGGACACACATTAATTAAGGACCACAGAAAGCCAGCCTAATCACAGTAACAAATAATGAGATGATGATCAAGTGAAAGATCTGTATTATCTAAAGAATTCAAAACCATCAAGTTGGAGATGCCTAATTACATCAACAAAATGTAGATAACTGAACCAGGAACATGAGAACATTAGCAAAGAGATAAAAACTAGAAATGCTGTGGCTAAAGAATTCAATGAGAAACAATGCCTGAGAAATCCAAATATGAGGCAGGGAAAGAGACTTAAATTCAACAAGCTCCATTATCTCTGACTAGGATAAACACAGTAAGATATAAACTAAAGTACATTAAAATCAAAGTGTCAGAAATCACAGAAAAACAATCTTGAGAGAGCAATAGAAAAAGTAAGATATTAACTTACAAAGCTTCTCCTGTATGAGTCCCAGTTGATTTTTCAGCAGAAGCCTTGAAATCCAGAAAGTATCAGGGAAGTGCTGAACAAATAAAAACTACCAACCCAGAATGATGCATCTAGCAAACATATTAGTCATTTTCTACTACTGAATGAAGGTCCTGAGATACCTTCAAGTCTGCTATGTAATTTGAAAGGTGAAAGCACAAAAGACCACCACAGCCATCTGCAGGCTGATGCTGTACAGTGTAAGGGTGGCTGTGACATGAAGCACGTTAACACTGAGAGATTCACAGCAAGCAGTGATGTGGAACTGAATTTACCAGTTTGTTTGTTTGTTTATTTATTTATTTTTTGTGGAACTGGGAATTGAACTCAGGCCCCTGCATTTGCCAGGCAAGTGCTTACTCCACTGAGCTGTCTCCCCAGCCCCTAATTTACCAGTTTAAAATGACCTCTAGGTTTAAAGTGCCTTGTACAATTGCCGTGGTAATGACACAATGGAGACCCCTTAAGAGAAAAGGAAATGAGGGGCTGGTGAGATGGCTCAGTGGTCTAAAGCACCTACTTAGAACAAGCTTAGCAAAGCACAGGGACCGCGGTTCAATCCCCCAGCACCACAT